TGCTCGACGCAAGTTGCCGTCTGCTGAAACTGCCGCACAAGAGCGGCGATCAGCAATCAATTGTCAGCTCTCTTCGGTTTTCCGGACGTCTGGATGTGTCTTGGGCGGCGTACGGAACTGCAGCTAGCCTTTCGGGATTTGTTTCGAATTGCCAGCGATATGACGCCTCGTTGACCGGAAACAAGATCATTGGACATCGGAGCAAGCACAGAGGCGTGTGTGGAGGAGTCCGTGAAGGCTACTTTCTCCCAGACTGTCATTGAGAAGACTTGCATCTCGCAGTCGACGTTCCGGTTCATGTATAACGATGTATGTACGACTTGACTGACGATCAGGCTCAGAGGTTTTGACAGGATGCGGCTGGGTAATGCTGCCAAGGACTCATAATATTGGCGTGACTTGGTGGGGGACATCTCTCACACCCACCTACCGACTTGCTGGACATGGGTTTCTCGAATTGGCTTTGTTAGTCGAACAATGACGTGTCAACTGATAGGGTTCTGCCAGGAACTCCATGGCCCCGGGTCTGAGACTATGCAAGGTGTTGATGTGTCATCCAGGTGATCGTTGCGAATACGTTACTCGCTGCGTCGAAGTCTAAATTGTAGTTCATGAGAACCGTAGGCAAACAACTCTATCTGCCGATGAAAGGTCTGTCTGTATGAGCACGTCACGAGAGCTGGCCCTTACAAGATGTCGGAATCGCCCGCCTACAATCCTAGTTGAGCTTTTCGTAGCTCCATTCTTAGATACAATGGAAGCGTGTTGGTGTGTCTGATTGTCATGACAAGCGTGCAACTTTCCAGTCTTTTCTGCTCGGGATTCTCAGTCGAAGAATTGAAACTGCTGCATCATCAAAGTTTGCCCGGATCTGGCTTTTAATAAAGCTACAGGCACACGATCTCATTCGCATAGCCTGTGTAGCACCTCTCTTCCATTACCCGCATCAATGTTCTTCAAAAGCAGAAACTGGCATAGTGCAAATGGAAATAGCCTTCAACACGCTAGCGCAAGGCAAAAAGACAAAAGGAATAGTCGATGAGGGACACCCGATTTGAACGGATAACCTTTGGGTTGCGACGTGCTCTGGAGCGAGACACACAGCTGGAATCCAACGCGCTGCCGTTGCGCCAGCCCCCCTGTGATGAGCGTCTTGGCTCCTGCGGCGGCGCAATCTGCTTTGGGGAGCGGGGTGAGGCAATTTCGGCTAAAGGTGCGTAGGTTGCGATGCCCTGAATGTGGGATTGTGGAGTTGACAATATGGATGTTGCTCATGTGGATCGGGTCGATGCAGGCAGACTGGGGTAAGGACTACATGTAAAACGTAGGTATACCAGTCGGATGAGCTGCACTGTCAACCAGCGACGCTGGCTGCGCTTCAAATCAGCCGCAGATTGAATCTCTTCCGTAACCACACTCAACCACCCAAACGCACTCGTCATGAAGCGAGAGGAAGACGGGTCGGTCGCCGCATGGCCACAGACCACTGCGCACGCAGCCCTTCCAGGTCATCCAGCAGCTCCATCCACATGTCTCCCTCGCCGTGTCCCCTTTCCGTAAGCCCCCTGGCACGAAGAAACATGACAATCGCTTCAAAGTCCCTCCGTATGCGCATCCTCGACCACCACATGTCAAACCGCCCGACGAGCCCAAGCCAGTACCCAAACACCCACAGCGCCCGCTCGTCGCCCGCGAGCAGCAGGTCGCGGAACGCCGGTTCCACGCGCCCGACAAATTGCATGTACTGGTAGACATTCTCCGGTCGGGGCGCCACCAGCCTCGTGGCCGCGAGGATGTACACTGGTTCCGCGAACAGTTCAGCGCGGCGCGTGGTGCGGGCCAGAAAAGCAGACCACGCGGGCGGCAGGTCGACGACGAGGTCGGGGCGCGTAAAGGTGCCCTCTTCGTCATCGGCCGATGCGTACATGGGCGTCATGAGGCTGCCACGGCGGAAGGCGGCCGTGATGATGAGCAGGGGCTTGAAGCCTAGGAGTATGTTCATCCAACCGAGGCGATCGGGGGCGGTGCTGAAGACCCACGAGGCGAGGGGGTTCTCATCTGGGACGGCAGTGAAGGCTAGGAGGTTGAGGAAGATGGCTGTCATCTGGAGCGCGTCTGCGCGGTCTCGGGAGAGGGGCTTTGCGAGGGACGCCTGCAACGACTGGATCGTGAGGGTCTGCTGGTACATCTCTGCTATCTGGTGGGCGGCGGGGTTGGCAGTGTGATGTCTGAGATAGCATGCTGATGCGCCGAGGATGGCTGTCAGGAGGTGGGGATACGTACAGGCCATGTCCCATACTGCATGGAGAGGGGCACCGGCGAGCATGTTGTCGTGGTTCTCGTTGAAGAACTGGAGAAGCACGCCGGCTGGGGTGCCTCCATACTTGGTCGCGGCGTCTACCGGAACCGGGAGCTCAAAGGCGGGCTGGGCCACCAAGGCCGCCGAGGACGAGAATGTGCCCGACTGCGGGCTCTGTCCCGCGACCGGGCTGCGTCGTGGATGACGGCCGGACGTTAGGGGCGTCTTGTCGTACAGACAGGTCCGCTGGTTTCTGTGACAGCGTAGACATGTAGGCTGAGTCTCATCGCACTGTAAAGTTTGAGCGACTGTTGCCGTGTTTTGGCTCGGCAGAAGCTTACTTTGACTCTCCTCTGTTTACAAGAGACACAGCCGGCTCGGGTCTTGGGTGAATACTTTCGTTTCTTGTGGTCGCGAATCGTCAGCCCGGCCTCATCGAGTGACATGACTTGAAATATGGACGCCATTGTGTGATGGATTGGCCCATGGTGCTATCGACGGGATGGCGGTAAAACAGGTAAACGAGCGGGGGAAAAACATGCAGGCCTGTGAATTCGGCACACTCCCAAGGATGCAATGCGAGCTTGACATGAAGTCGCCTTGTCGTGCCAGGCTGGGGTGATCGACACTGCAACCCCTCGTTTACCTGTTTAGGCATGGTGGTCTTACGCCTATGTGTGTGCATTCAGCCCCAGGCTGCCGTCTGGGCTTCTTTAAAGCAGTCCACCTTAAAAAGTGTAGGCATCGCATCAAGATGTGGCAGCCTGGTGGAGGCTGCCTTGCCCAGATTTTTTTTTCCGTGAAGCGAAGCGACCTGTATGAGCAGTCTGTCTGCCTTGCGCCCTAGCATGGAAGCCAGCAGATTTTGAGATACAGGAGGAGGACACCTGCGTCTGGGAGACCAGCTCGGTGGATCTGATCAACGTGTCGGGAGGCATCGTCAATCAATATGCTACGATGGACCGCACGTTGGATGTCGGTGGAGGCACACAACTCATTCTCAATCTTTCATTCATACCCTTGACTCTCCATCTTGTGAGCCAGCCAGGGACGCCAGGTGCGTCACCCGGATGGCCGGCGGCGGCAACAGCCAGGAGGAACGTCGGTAGATGATGCTGTAAGTCTACTGATGGAGCTTTCGTCCATGGAAAGCTAACATAAGAGGCCGAAAGCCTCCATGGAGAGTGGCGAGCAACTATATCGGCGCTCGTTGCCAGTTGTATGGCCCTTGAGTCAATTGCTGTGGGACCAGCAATAGCTGGTAGAGACTAAGAAGGTCTGTGAGGCTAGACGAGGCCGGATAGGAAACTCGATGAACTCGAAACACATCACAACTCATCACCATGTTAGACTTTGACCTTAAGAGAAGATAGAATCAATCAGATGTACCTGCCAGCCAACGCCTCGCTTAGTGAAAGAGAGAAAGGGAGATGAAAAACATAGACGAAGAACGAAAGAATAAAAGCTACGTCGCCCGGATGACCTGCGGCAGCGGAGCCGGGGCGTTGCGCATCTCGACAGCGACGCGCGTGTCGTGAATGCGGCGGTCGAACGTCTTGAACTCAAAGACGCCCTCGAGGTCGCGGCGAATGTTGGCCAGCTGCTCGTGGGCCTTGAGGATCTCGTCGGGCTTGTTGTCCTGCAGGACGTGGACCTTGACGAGGAAGATCCAGCGGCGGGCCGGATCGGAGGGGGTGAAGCCCGTCTCCCAGGCGCCGACGCGGGCGAGGGGCGTGCCGTCCGGGGTCGGGGGCAGCTGGTAGTGGCGGAAGAGGCAGAACTCGGCGTCGTCGCGGTAGAACTGAAACGTCTCCTCGATGGCCTCGCTTTTGAGCCTGGGGTTTGGGTTAGCGTTTTGTGTGGTCATGCTCACTGTGGGCATGGCAAGGGATGGTATTGCATAAGGCATAAGGCATGGTATTGCACAAGGCATAAGGCATGGAGTGGTGCAGGAGGCGGCCGTACTGGTACTTGTTGTCGCGCATGATGGAGGGCAGGTTGCGCTGCTCCCAAATCTCGTTCTTCTTGCGCTGCGTGACGGCAGAACCCTTGTGCGGCGGGTCGGGAAAGTCGGTCCAGCGCAGGACGCCGGCGCGGGCGTCAAAGTCGGCAGGCGTCTCGGTGCCAAAGTCCTTGTCCTTGAAGACCTCGTAACGGGCCTGGATGACGTAGGACTGGCGACTCAGCTGCTGATGAAGGTCTTTCCACAGGCCGGGCACATCTTTACGCTGGGATTTGACGATGGAGTTCTGGTTTGAGATGCCATTGGGTCGTGAGGGGCCTTTGAAGTAGAGGACGCGATGGAGGCTCTCCCAGGGTGGCATGGCACAGAGGCCGGCGAGGATGGAGCATGTTGCCTTGATGTCCTCGTCGGCGACAATGGTGGACAGAAAGACTTCGTACATGGCGGAGAAATCCACGGGTGACCCTTTGTCGATCGACCGTGTGAGGGGTGCTGAGGGCTTCCTTCAAGGTTGGTGATGGCAGGTCTGGAGGTGAGCTTCTGTGCTCGTGTTGATTCAGTGAGTGATAAGGCTTCTGCTGAGGTAAGCTGCCTTTCACTTGCCTGGCATCATTTGGGTTCACATGAGCCTTGCATGTCACGTGGTTTCCCGTCCCCTGCGCGCACTGCAACGCGCGCTGGAGCTTTGGCGAAGCGCGCTTTCGGGGTCTTCCCCCACTTCATCCAGAACTGAGCAGCCAAGCGAAGCACGAGGCAGGTTCAGCAACAGGCAGCCATTGAAGACTGGCAGCAGCCCAATGCCATGCCTATATAATCGACTCTCCATCAAACTCACTAGGATATCTAGACATCCATTCCCCATTCTCTACATCAATCGGACGCATCTACCGGCCACCATGTCCTCCTCGTCCAAGCGCAAGCCCTCCGATGCACCAGTATCACCACCCCCTCTCAAGAGGAAGCTCGCTTCCGGCACCACAAGTGAGCCACACATCTACACCTCGCCTTTCTCCCATGATCAACACTGACAAGATGCAGAGGGAGCGGTCGCCAACTTCTTCACCCCGACATCCCAGAAACCCAAGGACCGCACCGTCTGGTCAGAGCGCGCCCCTAAAAACGACACGCCAGCAACCTTGCTCGTTGCCAAGTACGAACCTGAAGCCAAAGAAGAGACTTCGACAAATAAGAGGCGGAAAGTAGCCGCCTTTGATCTGGTATGCGAAATTGTAGCCCGTACTCCTGAGGCCCCACACGGCTAACAGCCCAGGACTCGACCCTCATCGCAACATCTTCAGGCAAGAAGCACGCCTCCGACGGCAATGATTGGAAATGGTGGCACCCCTCTGTGCCGACCCGCCTCAAACAACTCTACAACGATGAAAAGTACAAACAATCACCTTCCCCAAGCTGTTTGACATGGACCTAAGATGCACCCCCGCTAACCTCTGTCCACCCAGCTACCGCCTCATCATCCTCTCCAACCAAGCCGGCCTAACCCTACACCCGGACCACAAATCCAAAACCCCCAAAGCAAACGCCGCCAAGCGCGTCTCCGACTTCAAGACGAAATGCGCCGCCGTCCTCGCCCAGCTCGACCTGCCCATCACCCTCTACGCCGCCACGGCAAAGGACATGTTCCGCAAGCCCCGCCCCGGCATGTGGCACGAGCTCTGCCGCGATCACGACATCACGGACGACGTCGACCTCGCGAGCAGCCTCTTCGTAGGCGACGCCGGCGGGCGCGTCGCTGTCGGCGCGACGGCCCGCGACTTCAGCTGCTCGGACCGCAACCTCGCGCACAACATCGGCGTCCCCTTCAAGACGCCCGAGGAGTTCTTCCTCGACGAGCCGCCGCGCGTCTTTGCGAGGGAGTTTGACCTCGCGCTGCACCCGTACGTCGAAGCCGGAGGTACAGACCCAGGCGAGGGCGCGGACGAGACGCCCCTCTTCGCGAGAAAGAACAAGCAAGACGTCGTGCTGTTCTGCGGTCCGCCCGGCGCAGGCAAGAGCACATTCTACTGGAGACAGCTCGAGCCTCTGGGCTACGAGCGCGTGAACCAGGACATACTCAAGACGCGGGAAAAGTGCGTCA